CCGTTGTTATCCATGAGAGAGAGCTACAGCCACAGCTCAGGCCAGAGCACAAGCTTATGGGAAAACTAATAGCTCTGAGATTTTCTTTACACGTTACTTTATCGAGATGTGGACTTCTACTGAAATTTAGAATTTCCTGTACAACAGTTCTGCTTTGCCACCTTCTCAAACACTTGTAGAAACTTTCTGAGCTTTAGCAATGCAGAGCAATTCAGATCCCCTGCTTGCAGGGGACATAGCTGTCTGTGACCTTCTCAGAGTCCCCTTCCCGGTTGCCTGAAGGCATTCCTCTCGCATTATTTTTGGTTATGCTGTAACTAGCCACCAACCTAGAGCCAAGGAAATTGTGCTCTTGGTTTGTGTGTGCTCAGGGTGTGCTGTGTAAATGGGTATGCTTTTGGACTGTGCCCAGGCTTCTGAGTGAAGTTGCTGCCCTTGACCTGAAGTAACTGTACTGTTGCTCTCTATCCCTGTGTGTGGGGTGTGCAGTACGAAGCTGTGTCCACCAATGAGTGTGCTGTGGGCGACACTGTACTTTTCTCATTATAGCTGTTATTTCTTCACACTGTAACAAGTTATGCTGTTGTATTTCCATCTTTAGTAGTTTGATAAACTACTAAAGACCTTAGACTCTCTACCATGTCTCAGTAGTATCTTGACTGCAAAACTAAATTGAAAACTGTACAAATAATCATGAACTATTACAAAATTGTTTATCTTGTGTGGGTTTTTTTTTTTTTAAAGCTATGAAAATTGATCAGTGCCATTCTAGAATGTAAGGTCTGGAAAATACAAATACAGCGGTTGCTTAGAGCTAAAAGCTCTTTGAAAAGCTCTGTTTAACCCTAAACTAGATGTTCTTCCTTTGTGCTGTGTTGAGCAGAAGCTCACTACAGAAGAAAGGTAGTGTGACCTAAAATTTGTAGATTTTTTTTTAAATTTTATTTTTTTTTTTTTACAGTTAAGCACAACATAACATTCTCAAACCTTTATTTCCTCTTCACCTGTCCTTAAACTGGAAGTCTTGCTTATCTCTCTCTTCATCTGCTGTTCCCTGTTATGCTTGGCTCCGTGTAGGTTGCTTCCACTGAACTTTGTTCTGGAAGGAAACAGGTATTTCTAGAGACAGTAATCCTTTAACTTTTTCCTGTTGGCTAGTAGATACCACAGAACTAGTATTCCCAAGTCCTTGCAGTAACTAGACACAACAGCCTCTTGAAGGCTTTTCCCAGTTTCTCAAATCACTTTCTGCTTCAGTAGTGTTGAGAATGATCCTTTGAGTAACCACCATTGTCACATGTTTCTTTAGAGAGAATAGTTTCACTGGTACAGAAACAGAGTTAAACCCAAAGACTGAGTGCTGTGACCAACACGTATTTGGAGACTAAAATTGCGTGGTATTATCATCAAGTTTTCTGCCTCCTACCTGTGCTGTGCTGCTGCCCTCGAAGCAGGATCGGCTACTAAATGCCGGTACAGAGTCCTGAAACTGTTTATTAGTTTCTTTAAAACATCCTGCAGGAGGGCAGGGGGATTGGACTACATGATCTTTCGAGGTCCCTTCCAATCCCCAACATTCTGTAATTCTGTGATCTTGCTGGTTTTGGCTGATTGTGTTTCTCAAGGTTGGGGAAAGGCGTTTTGTTGTATTGCCAGCTGTCTACTGGCTAAGTACTTGCCTGTTTATGTATCTTTATTGAGTTACTATTCAGTTACAATGCATGTACGAATGAAAAGTTTGGTGTAGTTGCATCATCCCAGTACTACTGATACCTTTCTTTGCTTCCTGCATGTATGTTTGCTGTAAAAGCTCAGTGCAGTTAAATAATGGGTAGTAGACTACATCTGAGATGCTGCTTTTCCTGGAACTTCTTCAGGTGATACATGTCCCATTCCATCTCTAGCCTGTTCTTTTTTTTTTTTTTTTTTTTAATTAAAAATAAATAACAAAAGTAAAATAATAGAATTATTTAGGATAGGAGGCACGTCAAGAGGTCACTTAATCCAAGGGTCTGCTCAAAGCAGGATTCACATTGAATCCGACCAGGCTGTTGAAGACTTTGTGCAGTCAGATCTTGAAAACTTCCAGTGACATTCCAGAGTCTTTGGACAACTTGTTACAATGTTCTGTTATTGTAATAGTGATTTTTTTTTTTAATTATGATTTTTTTTCCTTATATCCAGTTAGAACCTCCCCAATTAAGTTCATGTCTGTTGTCTCTCTTTCTTCTGCTGTGTGGCCATGTAAAGAGTCTGGCTTTGTCTCCTCAGGGGCCTCTTAGGTAACGGAAAGCTGATATTAGGTCTTCCCAGTGCTGCTGTTTCTACAGGATGGTCAAGCCGTCTTCCCTCAGCTTCTCCTTATAGGGCTAGTGCTCTACCCTCCTGACCATCTTGATG